TATGAGAGTGGGCAAGAAAACTATGTGGTTTGAAGAAGAAGCTTTATAAATTCCTTAAGAGGATTATATTACATGATTGCAGGGCCTGGATTGGATGATGTTGTATGATCCTATGTTGTGTGAAATTTGTGTTTAGTTTTATATTGAAATTTCATATGGTTTCTAACTTAAATGTCATTTGCTTCCTAAATGAATTTCCCTTTGAATTCTCATTGGAAGATTTGTTCATTTTCTTATTGGAATTTCCTAGTGTTTCTAATGTAACTTCACTTTTGTTTCTAATGTAGAGGTATAGGACGATGAAGAGTTGGGCTCCAGGTGTCAAGCATGGGGCGATTCAGGGACATGAGGAGAATTCCAGCGGGTCCGGGGCTTGTAGCTTTCCTATCGTTGCCTTTATCCAGGGGATGAACTGGGAGACCCGTGTGTACACTTCAGGAGGGGAAGCGTCATTGGGACCAAAGGAGACGATGCCCTGGGCCACCCTGCCACACACCAGGGGCCCCCCAGAATCGCCCTGTGAAATGAAACCAGAAGTATCACATCAGATCTACTTGCGTCCTTCTATTGGCATGGTGTCTCTAGCCTCTGTTTGTCAGAGGGTGGAGATGGATGGCAGGAGAGAGATCACTTGATCATTACCTGTTAAGTTCACTCCCTCAGAGGCACCTGGCATTGGCCACTGTTGGTAGACAGGATACTGGGCTAGAGGGATCTTTGGTCTGACCCAGTATGGCCATTCTTATGCTCTTATGTTCTTATGACATAGACCTGGGACTTGCCTCCCACCCCACCCCAGGCCCAGCTGGTCATAGCATCTCCTCCTCCTAGGCTGGGCCAGTCTTGGCATTACCTCCCCTGGTCTGAGCATGACACTTACATTGAAAGACGATTTCCTGCGATGCTGATCCCCTGCACACAGCATGGTCCTAGGTTTATAGTGATTGAGAAAGTGCCTGCTGCAGTTCCTGTCTTCCATCACCTCCAGATCCACCTCCATCAGCACGTCTGAGGTCTTCCCAGGGAACACACTTGTCTGACCCCAGCCTGCCACGCTGCACATGGACCCCGGTTTAACTTTCTCCTCATAGCGGGGCAGGGGGATGAGCTGAACCTGGTCACTCAGTCTGGCCTCCTGGGCCAACTGCCGTGGGGAGAGAGAAGAAAAGCACCAAGCTCAGCACAAGGGTCTGAGTCAGGAGTGGGGGAGACACATTTGAACCAAAGCAGAACAGACAGTTTGAGATCATCATTGGAGTGAAGCGGTAGCGGTGGTGCTGGCAAAAGCCCGAAGTCACTGTGGACATAGCAATGGGATGGGGGTGGTACCTGCAGCAGTGTGAGGTCACTGGGGGAGGGGCATGGAATGGGGGTGGTACCTGCAGCAGTGTGAGGTCACTGGGGATGGGGTGATGGAATGGGGGTTGTACCTGCAGCAGCATGATGTCATTTTCATATGTTTCATCGTTGTATTCTGGATGGGGAATTCGGCGACGTACCCAGGTCTCCTGCCTCCCTGGTTCAATCCTTGAAATATTGTGGGCCCCCAGCAGCACAGTGATGTCGCTGTGAAATACAAGGGGATGCAGGTTCTGCAGACAGGCCAATACTGTGGATACAGTCATGGGTCATTAACCTTATTACAGTGGGTGTGTGTAGACGCTGCCTTACACTCAGGCTTAATGTACAAAAAAAACAGCTCTCCCGGGCTTTTCCCATGCTGGTGGGGGTGGGGTGGCATCTTTTACCTGGCCCCAGGTTAGGAGACTGGCTGGCTCAGGGACAGGGGGTCTTGTATTTCTTACCCCAGGTTGCAATTACAATGAGCAGCCGTCACCACCACGTCCTCCCGGATGAGGAACCCTCCACACATGTTGCTTTGATTTTCTCCTTTCTTTATCTCCACAAAGGCCATGTAGGGTCTGGAGTGAGGCTCGGCTTCCCGTCCCCCGATGATCTCCCCTGGCCGAGCCCCCAGGAGAAGAAGTTAGTTCAGGCTCCTGATCCAGCAACATGATGAATCTGACCCCCGACCAGGATCAGGGTCCCCACTGTGCCCAGCACTGCACAGACCCCGACTGAGATCAGGGCCCCCATTGTGCCAAGTGCTGCACAGAAACAGATTGAGAATCCCTACTCCAGAGACCTAGAAGACAAAGCCTCACCTGCATTTCACACACTGGGAAATCCAGGCACAACAGGAAAGTGACTCACTTCAGATCCCTAGTGCACAGTGTGGAGAATTGGAAAATGAACCCAGAAGTCCTCCCCCATTCCTCCCCCCCCCCCATGCTCTAACCACTAGAACCCACTCCCCTCCCAGAGCAGGAGACTGAACTCAGGAGTCCTGGCTCCCCGCTCCCCCCGCTAACCATGCAGGCTGCACAGATCTGCATTTCCTGTCTAGGAGTTGACCGTTCACATCAACCCTTATTGAGTTTCTGTGTGCCAACTCCCCCTCAGGGGATTTATTATGGTAGTATCAACCCCCTCCCCTTCCCACTTTAGCTCCCTGCCCACCTGTCCTCACACCTCACAACTCCCCAGCTGGGTCCTCAGGACACACCGATAGATAGCCCTGGTGGAAGCATCTGACTCTGGGCAGGAGTCAGGGTTTGCAGTCAGGTCCAATAGTCCCAGGCTCTGCCCCCTATGGGCATGGGGGGGCCTATGCCCCATGTACTCACCAGCCTGAGCCCCGGGGGCGAGGGGGAAAGCCATGGTGAGCAGGAGCAGCAGCAGCATCGTCTGAAGGAGTCTGGGGAAGGAGACGATGTGTCTGCCTCTGGGGTCACCTGGCTGTGGGTAAACCACAGCCCACAGTTCCTGCCGGGGAGGAGTTCATACTCTGGGTGAGTCACTCCCTAGCTGCTCTAGAGAACTAGCAGAGAGCAATCTGCCTGAGACTGTTCACTTCTGGGGTCCTGCATCCCTTGGGGCTGTGCACATCTGGGGCCCTGTACCCCTGCAGCTGTGCACATATGGGCCCTGCACCCCCTGGGTATTGAGCAGATATTGGGCCTGCATCCCTTGGAGATGTTCACATCTGAGACACTGTACTCTGGAGTACATGTATATCTGGTGCCCTGAACCCCTTGGAGATGGTACACATTGGGGCCATGATGCCACCCCATTCGCCAGCCTGTGGCTTGGGGAGCAGGAGTAGGAGCAGAATTATCAGGGCCCAACTCGGGGTAGGGGGGTTGGCATCTACTTGGGAGGCAGGTGGCAGGCCTGGTTGAGTAAGTGATGCTGTGTCCTGATGCAGCTTCCATGAACCCCCCCC